GAAAGAACGGCGTCAAGTGCACCACGGAATCGTTTGACACGATCGTCTTCAAACATCTCTGCGGCTTGGGCGAAGTCGAACGCCAAACCGTAGTTGGTGCACAGTTGACTGTTGCGAGCCACGCCTGCACCGTTGTGGGTGCGAACCTCCAGTTCAAATCAAACGAAAGCTATACAAGCAACGGGCTGTTTGTTGCAGACATCACATGAACAAGCTTGGACAAAGGGGCCACAAGCTTGAGGTAGCCACTGCCACTTCCGCAGGCACTGTCCACTTGCCAGGCACAGTTCGGCTGCTTGCGAATGCCTGGCCAGACACACATGCAACAGAGCAACACAACCCGCTTCCCTTGTTCCCTCCCGGCCTTGAAAGTGTTGCACGTATCTAGCAGCACCCAGCAAGACACAGTACACGGAGGCACGTGATCCCTTCACTCTGGCATTGTCAACCTTGACCACACCGTCAGCGAGGAAACCATGCCCAGGCAAGCGCAGGAACTTCGCCAAGGCCTCGTAACAGGTGAACTTGGCCGCCGTAGCGGTGCATATGATTTCACCCTCGGCCAACGGCTTACCAGTCACCAAGCCACGCCCAAAGGACTGGTGCAAGTCCAGGCACAGGTTGGAGTCACTGAGTTCCTTCTGTAGTAGCAACGGAACTCTCGTATCCAAAGCACCGTGAAAGACGTCCAGGCCCGCAAAGGAATCAGTCTCCGGGGGTTCGACATCAGTCAAGTCAAACACATCACTGTCAGGCACGCAACCTCCTTCAATCAACTGGATGGCTGCAGACACATGGGAGCGTTTGCGGTCCCCGGCATCCGCAGTCACGCGGGCTTCAGCCAACGCACTCCGGTAAAACATCTCCTCCTGCAACTTCATGCCATGCAAGGACGCATGCGAAGTCACAGTTGGCAGACACGCGAAGACCTCTTGACCAAGCAACCGCGCAGCCACGCTGGAGCCTGGGTGTGCCGTGGTTGTCAAGATGACCGTCGTCACGGACCGAGACACACACAGCAGGCACTGAAGGATAGGCGTGTAGAAGGAGGCGCTCTTGGCAAAGGTAAAGAGGTCCACCAAGAAGTCACGCTGTTGGAACGAGGCACCCAGGTTGAGTGGCGCAGGATCCGTGTCCTCTTCTTCACTCATCGCCTCGTCCTGCCCCTGCCCTTCACAATCATCCGGATCAAGCTCGCACTTTGTGGGATCTGCGCGGGTATCACCCGGCTTCACAGGCACCTTCGAGTCCTCAGACACCTGCTTTGCCCTTTCCTGTTCCTTTGAGTCACGAAGGGGGCAACTCAAAGTCAGGCACCGAAGGCGAATGCCTTCCCAGGCTTTGGCACGCCCTCTCAGCGCAGGCACCATGGTAGGCGTTGCCGGCAAGTCAGTTGTGCCTTGGTGAAGCACTAAGGCGAAATTCATGCGCCTTTTGTCACTTTGAACATCAGCTCCAGCAGTGAGCGCAGTCACGAAGATGCAGGCACTCGGAAACGTCGCAGCCAGTTTCGCCTGAAGCACACTCATGTAGTCCAATCGGCACCCGCAAAGAACCGCGATGCTGAACTGGCTGAGCTTGTTGTTGTCAACCACCTCCTTGACAACTTGCACAAAGCTCGAGCCAACTTTGGCTCTGCTGGTTGGTGAATCCAGCAGGAAGCATGTACGCTGCTGCGGGGTCAGGTAGCCAGGCACAGTCTTTTTCAGATCAGACACCGCGTTCGCACCCACGAAGCGGTGCACCTTGTCCATGTTCTTGAGAAGCGTCTCCTGTGCCTGCTTTTCGACTGGATCCATAAAATCCACCTTCATGTCCTCTGCTGTCTGCGAACCGTCAATGCTCGCCGCAGCAGCGGTGCTGTCAGGCACAGACGCCAACGAAGCCACTGGATCATCGCCCTGTGAGCTGACAGCCTGAGAGCATGAAGAGGTAGAGAGAGAGAGAGAGAGAGAGAGAGAGAGAGAGAGAGAGAGAGAGAGAGAGAGAGAGAGAGAGAGAGAGAGACAAACAAACAGCCAGACAGACATGGACAAGTGCCCACATAAGATATTCACAGGCTCACAGGCTTCTGCCGAGGAACCACCGTCGAGGAAGAGGCATCCACAGTGCCAGGCCCGCCGGCCTTCTGCTTCTGGAACTCCAGGTAGAGAGTACCTGAATTTTCAACTGACAGTGCACATGTTTTGATTGACTCATGGGTCTGAACAAAGCACCACAAACACATGACTGAAACACTCATGGCAAAGCCAAGACACGACACTCGTGAATCCCCGGGTTCTCGTCGGAGACCCCGTGCAATGGAACATTGCTTGCCATGCACGCAAGCACTTTGTTCAGCCCGGACCGCGTCTCTAACATTGCAGTCACTCGGACCATTGCGGCACTGCTTTTCGCGCAGCCACCAAAAGTTGAGTGCATGGTCTTCACCCAAGCACTTTTGGACAGCATGGCTGGGCATATCTGGGACTTTAGAATGTTTTCTGAAATCTCGGCCCCATCCTCTCGCATCTTCACGGCCATGTTCAAGACACGGATGGCGTCGTCGGCCTTCAGCTTCTGCTGGCCTGCACAGGCACCCAAATGCATGGAAGGGAAATAATGATGACTTCAGCGACACCAATCACCAGACACTGGCCTGGCCCAAGAAAGAAAACATTGTCAAACACCCAGACGTCAGGCACAGTCCGCAAGGTACGCAGGTGCTCCAAGACCTGAGCCGAGCAACCCACACCGGACCAATATTGAATCTGAGCCGAGCTACCCACACCGGAAAACTACAGCAATACATGGGCATCAGCAGCTCCAGAACATCGTCCATGTGAGTTTAGTATGACTCTTGCTCGGCACGAATCACGAAGGCTATGGCGACTTTGTGATGATGGCCTTGATCTGTTTAACGTATCCACTCGAACAGACAGTTAACAAGCACTTGTTCACTTCATGCACATGTGTCTGCTCTGCTCGGAAAGACACGACAGTGATTCTTTCCGACAAGAAAACTCCGAACTTGTTTAAACGTTCAGAAGGCAATATACAAGGAAAGGCACCTTAGTCGGCAAACTTGCGTATGACCGCATCCACCTGTTCACAACGGTCTTCTTGGAGTTGCCATAGAGCTTCAGAAGTGATTTCCGAATCAGCTCCGGGTCGGCGCCAGTCACCCTTCTGCTAAACCTAGCCACCACGTCGAGCTTCTGCCAAACACTGCTCATTCTGAACTTGTTCTGTGACTCATCATGCCGCAGTGTCTGCCAACCAACATGGGAATCGCGGTCATACACTGGAAAAGTGACTAAATCGACGAGGAGACCTGACAAGTTCAAAAGTGTTGACAGTCAGTCTGTGCCAGTCAATGGTGGTTGCATTGATATCGATATCCTGCCTTGTTCGTAAATCTTGGACAAGCTGTCTGGCATAGACACGTTCGGGTCAGCCACAGTCTCGTCACAATCGTAGAAATTCTGCAACTCAATCCTGGGGCATGTCACGTCTGAATCGAAATGTCAACACATCCGAAAGTAAAGCTTTAGCAACGAACTGTACAGGCTGAGGAACAACGCAGACACCGTTTGGTACCCGTCGGCCAAAAGACACAATCCGTTGGCATCCACCAGATCTTTTCCTGAGATGCAGTGTTGCACAGCTGAACGGTCACTGTTTTGGCATGCAGCTGGAAACACAGGCCAAGATGCCAGCCCCATCCACAAGCACTTGTGGCCGCGACAGCAATGACATGTCGTACTGGCCCGACCGAAACACCTCCATCAGCTCAACCACACGATCGTCGTCACGTCCTCTGAAGGACGAGACATCGGGGTCAAGAGATATGTCCTGCCACAAAGTCACAACGTGCAGACATTGACACGCACGCAAACAAAACCACCTCATGGAGACACACAAATCTCCTTCAGCTTGCGGAGAACACCGCATTGGACCGTTGTCTGGCCCTGAACAGGACAGGTTTTGGTAGTGGTGAAACTTCGAAGTCAAATTCCGCCCGGCCTCGTGAGTTTTCTCAACATTCACGACTTTTTTGCCCATGGCGCCGGACGTCGGCACTCTAATCAAAATCACCGACGAAGAGCCAGACACTTCAGCAACACAAGCGACATCAAATAAATAGCTCCAGACTAACAGGAAACTGATCTGCACGAGCTGCTTGCACGAGTGAGCAGTGGGCCTCTGAAGAATCGCACGGCCGAATGAATGCAAAGCCAGACCTGAGAGATCGGCCAGGCTCGGGGGTGAGTGGGTTCCTGCAAATGAAACTCCTGACAAGTGGCAGCTTGGCAATAGAAGTCGTCGTTGTGACTCCTTCCAGTTCTTGACCTGCCCCAAGCCCAGGCCCAGTGCACTGGAAGGGTATCCCTGCGAAGATAAGCAGATCGGCTTGAACCGATAGTCCGACCTGGGCTGACGAAATAGAGCAGCCGAGTCAACTGGGGGTGGGTCCCTGCCAGATAAGCAAATCGACTTGATTGGCTGATGTACAGAGCAGCTGAGTCAACGGCCGCACCTGGGGGTGGGTCCCTGCCAAGATAAGCAGATCGGCTTGATTCGATTGTAGTCTGAGCTGGCTGATGTACAGAGCAGCTGAGTCAACGGCCGGACCTGGGAGTGGGTCCCTGCCAAGATAAGCAGATCGGCTTGATTCGATTATAATCTGAGTCTGAGCTTGGCCAATGAACAGAGCAGCTGAGTCAACGTGGCAGATGCGCAGAACATTGAAAGCTACGATAAGGCATGATGCAAACAACGAACCCCACAGATAACCGGATCGAGTCGAAGTAGCTATATTCGGGGTCACGACAGCGACTCACTAGATCATTTGTCTATCGGCAAGATACATAATGCCTATGAATACAGCGACTCCTCATAAACAAACAAGCCTTCTCAACAACTGGACTCTGCAGATACCGACTTCGACTTGATCCAGGTATGTTGGGGGTTGGTCTGCTGCAGCACTTTGAAACTTGGCTTGATTGTCGCCTCTGGTCCTAGTCGGTGACGGGGCCCGGGTCGGTGAAACAGCAGTGGCTTCGTTGCGCTTCCATCGAAACTAGGCCATCGGTGCGTCGCACTTCCCGGCAGAAACACAGCTCAGGATACTCGCCAAAAAATACTCCGACCTGAAAGATGTGCATTCCATTGCCTACATCACTGGGTGTCAGCCACTGCAAAGACACCTCGTCGACGGGAACTCCACTGGCACGTGCTATTGCAGGCAAGAGCGGGAAGCCACTGGCCACCAACAGTTCGTTGGGAATCAGCCACCGTTGAAGCATCGGAGACCACAGCAAGGCACTTCCATGACGGATGGTCGGGATCTGCCGTTTGGCACCCGAAGTCACCGGCCGGCGGTCTGGGTCCTGGCAGCAGTAGGCCAGCTCACACCTGCAAATTTGAAAGCACTCTACAACAGCCAACCATGGTCCTGGCTGAGATCGAACAGGCAGTTTTCATCGGTGCTCGGGTCGGTGCCGAGCTTTTCCTTCCAGAGCGACCTGTACCTGCTCTCAAAGTTTGCCTGGTTTCGTGTCAGGAGATATGCCCAAGACACACCAGACACGGTCACCGGCGGTGACATCTTCCTCCTAGACCTGGCTCGATTTTCTTCAATCACCAGCCACTGCTTTGGTGAGGCACGGCAAATATCCGCAATTGTCGGAGCACCGTGCAAAGCCATGTGCGCACGAAGCTGCTCACAGACAAACTGATAATTGTCAGCCACGTCCGTTCCAGGCAGAAGGCAGTCACGACGGACTAGCGCAAAATAAAGACGCGGACGCCTCACCACGGACCAGCCACAATCTTCTGGGCTGCTACGCACCTCCCATATGTGATACAAGCTTGCCAGATGCTCGTGTAATACACACAGGCCTGGAAAACCTTCAGTATTTTCGTGTGCTGCCCACAAAGGTTTTCTTCGGGCAATCAATGCACACCAAATGAGAAAAGGCAGTGAGCGCTCGTCTCTCCAGCCCAAGGCACGAGGATTAAAGCGAGACCAGGGTTGACAAGGACTGCCAGACACGTCTCCTTCGAAGAAAGGACTTCCGCATATGTCGTGCCCGCTGTGCCAGCATCGGAGATGACCAAACCTCAAAAGACCCACAATCTTCTGATACCTTTCCTGCCAAGACAATCTGGAAAGCACCTTCCACGTAGGCAAGCCTGGACAGTAGTCACGCATGTCTCGAAACACGCAGCCATGACCTCTGGCAATCAACACATTGGCACAGTGCCGACTGGAGTCACAAGCAGCCACGAACCGTAGAGGCATGGCACCCTGAACACCTTAGCCGAACGACTGCGAACTGAGCATAGGTAATCGAAGGCAACATTGTAACATTGCATGCTGTAATGCTGCAAGGCACTGGCTGCAACTGCATTGTGCAGCAGGTTTGCTGCCACTTCGACGCAGCCCACACCGGAAAAGTGGGTTGTTGCAGCACAGCCACGGGCCAGCAAGGATTGACTCACAAGATCATACCCTCTCAGCTCTTGAATATGAGACACTGCCATGTACATCACACGAAATGCCGTGACCAATGCCACAGGGGTTGCAACGTCAACGGCAGTGTCTTGATTCCCTGCTTCTGCCAGGAGAAGGCACTCAGCATCACTTCCGCTGTCGGCCAAGTCCATGCCAGGTTTTATGCTGCAGTCACTGACTAAAGCATCTTGAGATAATAAATAGTCACTGCGACCGATACAAAACATGAACATTGCCATCCATAACACTGCCGGCATAAAAATGACAAAATAAGTACAAGGGCTGACAGTTTTTTCTGACGCAGCAGCAGCTTGTCGGGTGGCTGGACTGAGAAATTAAAAAGAGCAAGCGCCTGTCAGTCACAAATGACTATATAACTGAATGCACTGCTCATAGCCAGCGAACAATTCCAAAATCACAATGGGTCCAATGACTCAGCACCTGTCAGTGACAAATGACTAGCTGAATACACTGCTGATGAAAGTGAGTAGCCAGCAAACCGTTCAAAACCGAGCACCTTTCGATGAGCCCAATGACTCTGTCACTGTCAGTCTAAGCACAAGCACAAAGGGCCCAATGACTCAGAGACTCGAGTAAATAGAATTACTGAGACACGACTTGGGTTTCGGAAGGTTTGTCATCCGCTTCCAGCTTATCGTCTTTGGAGCCACTCTCACGTGAGGCACTGTTCTTCGACACTGGAGCAGTCACTGGGGGGGCAAGCGCTGGGGAAGCCACTGAATCTGCCGCCGCAATCCTAGCCCGCTTGCGTTCCAAATCCCTTTCGATCTCCTCCTTTTCGTTCATGATTTGTTCCCTTTCGCAGTCCAGCATGTCCAGTCGGTGGTTCAAGCTCTGCACGGTCTCCTCCATGTTCAAGACACGCTTCTTGGTCAGCCACTGAGCAAAATCTTCTTTCTCAGACACGTGGATCTCCACCTTGACCACAATCTCGTTGGGCTGTAGAACATCAGGCACAGGTGAGCTCTGATGCCAAAAGTCCTTGGTTTCAGTCACGTAGCAGCCCTAAGTACAACAGAAAACTGAACAATTAAAAGCTCATGTCAAGGAGCCGCAATCGGGCTTGTGAAAGTGTCGACATGCACCATGCCACTAGGCAAGGTTGGTGCATTGAAGTGGTGGACTCGCAGCCTGCAGAGAAAGCATTTGCCATTACGGATCCTTTAACACTTCTGAGGTGAAACTTCAGGAGAAGCCAGGTGGCTCGGTCGACTTGCCATCTGCAAGCACGAAACCCACGAGAGCTGCCGCGCGTTGGGTGGAATAGTACATGTCCTGGGAAATTCAGAGTGGATGCAGATCCAGTCTCTGTCGATCAGATCAGTCAGCAAGGTGTCCTTCGGTTGATAGCCTGTCTTTGTAAGCACCGAGTTCTTCAGGATCATGTGACATGCCATGTTCTGATCCGTGGGATCCACATGCTGATAGAAGTTCCAGGCACCTCAGAACAATACCCACATGCACACCAAAAAAACACACGGACAAGTGCTGAACGATTTAGTGAGCGAGCAAGGAACGTTCCACAGCCACTTCGGCCACTCCCACAGAAGTGGTGAAGAGCTCGATATTGAAGTAGGCCACCTTGCTCAGGTCATCCAGCGGCTTCAACGTCCGGAAGAAGCTGCCTGGTGAGCCCCCGCAGTCTTTGCCGAGACTGAGCTCCTTGTTTTGAACTGCCTGTTGCGGATCAGAACAGTGTACGACGACACACCCAAAGGCACGGGCACTCAGCAAGGCACTGGCACGTTTCCACTGCTGTTGTCTGTGAACTTTGGCACTCATGGGAACTCCGTCGGAAAGTTTGAAGCCCAACCTGAGGCACGAAAGTATCAGTCAATGAAGACGCAGCCAAAAAACACAAAAGACAGTACAGACCCAGCAGCTGCCGCGCTTCCGCACGCACGGACTTGGCTAGGGCCTCCTCCACTGTCTCATAGAAGCTTCCCGAACAAGTGCGAGCATGGCCCACGAGGTAACCGACGAGGACCATGATGAAGGCAAAGACACCGAGGTCACGGACAACGACGCGGAAAACACACCAATCACTAAGCTGGTTGCTTGAAAACGACACAGGCCCAGACATGCACGTTATCAAATTGAGAGATGTGCTCAAGATGGAAGCAACACAGACCATATCGCGCAGCACACCTGATTCCTTTTTTCTGTGAGTTAGCAGTCGTCGCGTCCACAGTCGTGCCCGCATCCACAGACACTGACAGAAATGGACCTGCCCCAGTAAGACACTACCGCCTGATGGTCCATGTCTCACAAGAAATAGAACTCAGCTGTTACGCTCTTGACCAGAGTTGTCGTCGTTCACAGTCACATCGAAATCCTTCAGGTCCATGGGCTCCTGACGGTGTGTGAGTGTGCGCGAATGGCAAAAGCACTCCCTCACAGGCTTCTGTCTTTACGTGTATAACATGGCCCATCCTTCGTAAAAGGCGGCTTCCTGGCCATTGTCAGGGACCAATTGCCACTGGAAGCAGACACTGTCATGCACTCTCGGACGTAGTCGTTCTGTTCCCGATAGGATCGTTCCAGGTCTTCGTAAGCTGAACGTAGACGTCTGAGCCTAGGCTGCAAAAACACCCAAGTAGCGGAGGCAACCGCAGCACATTTCACCCTCGACAATGAAGCCTAAATCCCGTAACTCTCAAGCCTTAGACAAGTCGCTTTTTCAAAATTTCTTGAACCCACGGGTGATCCTCGACGTCCATGATTATGTTGCCATCCGATGCCATTCGACGCAGATCGGTTTCATAACCTGTTCCAGGCACTCTAAGCTCTCTTAGACTAGACTCTTCGCAGTCACAGGCATGGCCGCTTCTCTCTTCACGCCTGGTTCTTTCTTGACTGTCGGAGTCACCCCCGGCTCTCTCTTCACAGACACGCCCTTCTCACTCTTGATTTCCACCTCTGGCTCCTTTAACGGCAAGATGAGGAAGGTGCCTGGCACAACAATGAATCAAAGCATTGCAAGACAATAGGCCCTGAGCCCTGCCTGGTGGAAGATGCACACGTGGTCGGCAGCAATCCTTTCGATTCTTCTTTTCATAGTCGGCCTTTTGTCTGTGACGATGACGAGCTTTGCCTTTGACTTTAGCCTTGGCCTGAGCCTTGGCTTTGGCCTGTGCCCCCCCCTTGCCCATTGCACTGCCGAAGAGGCACTTTCTGCGGGCACACAGTGAAGTTTCTTTTAAACAAGTCACTGCACATCATTGCTGACTCACTCTACTACACGGCTCTCCCACAACATTGTGACATGGCATATAATTTAAGCCACTGGGACGGCTACTGGCACTGACCACAAGCGACAGTCACGCTCAAGGAGTGCCACTCGCAGACAGACAGAGCCAGCAAAACTTTCTCAGCAACAAAATCTGCAGACCGCCTGTCAAAAAGATCTCCAGCAAATCCCAGGTCTCACCTTGGCGCACAAACTCAGGCACATGTTTTAAAAGAACAGTAGTCACTACACAACGACGTGCTGAGATGCTTCGTGGGTGTGAGTGCCAAGACGAACGCTCATGGCGAATCAAATCAACGCAAACTGGCTGTGCGAATATGTCTGCATGGACATACGCTCCACGCTAGCTGAGAGGACTGCAAAGGATGTGCATGGTTCCAACTCGGCAACTGAAATTATATTAGGGTACTACCGGAAAAAAACCTAGCACACAATACGTTCGTACTCGCAAGTCACAACTCCTCCTTCAGATTGCAGCCACCCTGTCAAACGACATGCGCTTGTCGTCCCGTCTTTGCCAATGATCGCCGTGAATTGTTCTTGCGCCAGTCACGTTCAAATAAATCACTCTTCCTGGACTGCTTATCACCCAGCACAAGTAGTCGCACTGGTGGTTTTGGTGGTAGTAGTAGTAGTAGTAGTAGTAGTAGTAGTAGTAGTAATAGTAATAGTAGTAATAGTAGTAATAGCCATATAAGCAGCCATAGTCATTTTAATAATAATAACCATAGTCTTATTATAGCAGTTAGCCCGGACGTCGGGTACCCGACGCGCGGTTACATCGTGCATTGCTGTTGTTAATTAGTTATTAGCTTTTTTCTTGCATCTGCAGGCGTCGGGTACCCGACCCCAGGACGTCGGGTACCCGACGCACGGTTACATCGTGCATTGCTGTTGTTAACGCTGGCTATTAGCTTTGTTCTTGCATCTGCAGGCGTCGGGTACCCGACGCCCCGACGTCGGGTACCCGACGCACGGTTACATCGTGCACCACTGTCGTTAATGCTGGTTGTGAGCTTTGTTCTTGCAATGTGCAGATGCAATGCCAATAATGCTATGAGTACTCATGTAATAGTAATATCAGTCGTACTTAGCCACATTAAATACTAGTATCTAAGCATCCACCATGTAATCGCGCGTCGGGTACCCGACAACCGGGCGTCGGGTACCCGACGCCTGTGGATATGTTCATTCAGACGCAGCGCCAAAGAAAATGGTAATAGTCTGTAATGGTAATAGAAGTAGCAAAAGAAGTAGAAGTGGTAGTAGTAGCTTTACTACTACTACTACTTCTACTACCATTACTACTATTACTATTTTCTTTGGCGCTGCGTTTGAACATGTCCACAAGCGTCGGGTACCCGACGCCCGGTCGTCGGGTACCCGACGCAACACCATTATATATAGTGCATGCTTAGATACTTGTGACTAGTACAACTCAAATTACTAATACAAAAATATTCATACTATTATTGGCATTGCATCTGCAATGAACAGGCGTCGGGTACCCGACGCAGGAACACATGGTACATGCATGCATAAATACTACTATTACAGCTCACAAATTACTAATACAAGAATAGCTTGATTAATAGTAACAACAGCAATGCACGAGGTAACCGTGCGTGGGGTACCCGGGGTCCGGGTGTCGGGTACCCGACGCCTCCATTCCTACCATTACTGCTTAACTACTACTACTTCTACTACTACTACTATTGCCGCTACTACTACGACTACTGCTAATTACAACTACTACGACTACTACAACTAGTACTACTACTACTTCCATTTTTACTAGTAGTAGTAGTAGTAGAAGTAATACTAGCAGTAGAAGTCGGAATATTGAGCAGTAGTCGTAGTAGCAGTCGCAGTAGTAGTAGTGTAGTATGAATGCAGGCGTCGGGTACCCGACGGCCGGACGTCGGGTACCCGACGCATGCTTACATCGTGCATTGCCGGCTGAGCCACTACTTCAAGACGCCAGGCGGCTTCATAATGCAGTGCTGCCGTTGCTTTATTATTTTTTTACTGACAATAATTCTTCCATTATGATAAGTAATATGAATAATACATATTCGCGAATAGAAACGACTGCTACGATGTATTAGCTTTGCTTTTAATATTGTACCAGTAGCAGCAGCACAATTGCTGCTAAACTCATTAGCGGGCGTCGGGTACCCGACATCCGGGCGTCGGGTACCCGACAGCTGTGTACTTGTTGCTGGAAGGAATAGTAAGAATAACCCGACGCCAGTGGAACTGCTGCAGCAATAGTAGCAGTCTGTACTAATAACACTAACAAATAGTAAAAAGCATGCACCTTTGCAGTGCACCGTTATCAACAATAGCGCTGTAGTATTCGTAATGACCATGCAAACTTGCGTCGGGTACCCGACATCCGGGCGTCGGGTACCCGACAGCTGTGTACTTGTTGCTGGAAGGAATAGTAAGAATAACCCGACGCCAGTGGAACTGCTGCAGCAATAGTAGCAGTCTGTACTAGTAACACTAACAAATAATAAAAGGGCATGCACCTTTGCAGTGCACCGTTATCAACAATAGCGCTGTAGTATTAGTAATGACCATGCAATCTTGCGTCGGGTACCCGACGCCCGGGCGTCGGGTACCCGACGCCCGGGCGTCGGGTACCCGACGCCTGTGAACATGTTCAAATGCAGTGCCCGTAGTTAAAAGGCATGCATCATCGGCCACCCGACGCCTGTGGATAGTTAGTAGCAGTAGTAGTAGTAGTAGTAGTAGTAGTAGTAGTAGTAGTAGTAGTAGTACTAGGAGTAGTAGTAGTTGTAGTAGTAGTAGGAGTAGGAGTAGGAGTAGGAGTAGTAGTAGTAGTAGTGGCAGTAGTGCTGCTAGTCTAGTAGTTGTGGTAGTACTAGCGGTAGTGTAGAAGACGAACAAGCAGTAGGCAGTGCCAGTCGTCCAAGTAATGTAGTAAGAAAAGAGTCGCATCGCAACAGTAAACATCCTAACACAGTGACACCACCGATCCTTTCATTTATTTCAGACACATGCCGCTAGCAAGCAATCCAAAAAAGTCATGATGTTGAAAATCTGAATCCCCAAACCCCGAATTGAACCTTATGCTGCCTAAATTACATAAGTCCTAAGTTAAGTCTAAGTCCGACAGCTTGCCATGACTGACTGGCTGAGCTGGCGGCATTGGCAGTCCACAGGCGCGATTCCCAGTCACTGTACCTGATTGACTTGCAAGATAGGTAGTCTGCGAGCTTCGATCTGACAACACGTTGCACTCACTGAGCACAGCACACGCACGAGGAGTCCAACTGGAATTGCCTGGCCCACGGTGAGCTGAGCTGACAGCATTGATGAAATCACTGCAAATTTGATAGACTAGATGCACGCTTGGAGCAGTGTTTTGTCTCTGTCGTCAAGGTCGCTTTGCGACGATTGGCTGGAGCCGCTGTGGCACACAGCTATTCTTAAAGCACCAAGTGGATATGGTCGCCTGGACTGCAGTTCATCACATTGCAGTTCGTCGTAAGTCAAAGTAGTCTTAGTCACTCTGTACGAGTTTTAATAAGCATAAACACTCAGACTCAGAGTCACTGCACAGACCAGGCACCAACCACAAGGAGCTTTGACGGGGGCCGCTCAGGCACAGTGACCAGGCAGCCACCCTCACCAAGTGTCCCAAATGCTGGGTGGCTTAGCCACAGGATCTGCTGTGTCAGGCACAGTGCTGTCAGGCACAGTGCTGTCAGGCACATCAGGCACATCAGGCACATCAGGCTGCTGCGGCACAGGCTGCGGCCATTCCCATTCTTCAGTGGCACGCTGCCCATGCTGGTTCCACTGCCGGCCCCACCCATCAGAATGCCCATGCCAGTTCCAGTCACGGCCACGCCAGCCATCCCATTCCCAGCCCCAGGCACGCTCAGACCAGGCTGGTGACCAGCCAGACCAGGACTGCCAGGCCTCCTCCGCCCTCTGCCTGTCCTCCTCCGCGGCGCGGTGCCTCGCCGTATCCGCGGCACTCTGCATGGCCTCCTCCTCTGCGGCCCGTCGTCTGGCCTCCTCCTCTGGGTCCTTATCTGCACCAAAGCATTCATCAATGGGCCCTGTGAAGCACCCCTCCTGAGCACGGTACCACTCAGCTTGGTTAGCGTACTCCTGCTCACTGAAAAGATGATGCCGAGGCTCGGTTGAGGCCGCAGCGGCGTTTCGTCTGGCCTCCTCTGCCGCCCTCCGCGTGGCCTCCTCCTCTGCGGCCTTTCGTCTGGCCTCCTCCTCTGCCGCCCTCTGCCTGGCCTTCTCCTCTGCGGCCCTCCGCGTGGCCTCCTCCTCTGCGGCCTTTCGTCTGGCCTCCTCCTCTGCCGCCCTCTGCCTGGCCTTCTCCTCTGCGGCCCTCTGCCTGGCCTCCTCCTCTGCGGCCTTTCGTGTGGCCTCCTCCTCTGCGGCCTTTTGAACCTCCTCCTCTGCCGCCTTTTGTCTGGCCTCCTCCTCGGCCTCCTTCTGCTTCTCCTCTGTGTACCACTGGTCCCAACGCGCATCCCACGCAGAGACCGGCTCCGACTGCGCAGGCACCGTGTCATCCCATGCAGAAACCGGCTGTGACTGGGCAGGCATAGTGTCATCCCACGCAGACACCGGCTCCGACCGGGCAGGCATAGTGTCATCCCACGCAGACACCGGCTCCGACCGGGCAGGCATAGTGTCATCCCACGCAGACACCGGCTCTGACTGCCCAGGAAACACCAAGGGCACCTCGGCAGGCACCTCGGCAGGAAACACCAAGGGCACCTCGGCAGGCACCTCGGAAGGCACCGTGGCAGGCGCCGTGGCAGGCACCGTTTCAGGCACCGTTTCAGGCACCGCATCTGCGCCATCTTGAGGAGTCCCAGTCCCAAACACGGGGGTGCGGTCAGCCTTGTTTTGCTTCCACCGGCGTGGGGCATCATCGGCCGTTGTGGACTCCTCCTGCGACTTTGATTGCCAGGGCCAGCCACCACCCGACGGGGATTCATAGTCCGTGTCCTCTCCCTCCGACCAAAATTCCACGCGCGGTTCTGGTTTCTTCGAGGCACTGGACGACCCTGCCGGGTGTCCCTCATTTGTCTGCACCCATTCACAAAGCTCACGCCAGTACTTGCAGATGACCTGGGCTGTACTGTGGTTCTGGGACCCCTTAAACTAAATAAAAATTTATGAATATGTAAGGGAAATTAAACAATGTCCCAAAGTGCCACATCGTCACCTTGCTGATGTCGAAGAGCACGCGCCCGTAGCCACTGTTGCCACTCTTCTTCTCATTGTGGCGCATCTGCCCTGAGTCTATGTTGCAGTCAACACTGTTTGTTTAGTCTATTCGCACTGCCGGCTGAGTGCCTGCAAGGGGCTGTGAACACGAGGCAGCAGCTTGAGGGCATGCGGATACAAATCCTTGTCCTCAAGCATCGACTGCACGGCCTCAAAGCAAACAAGAGATGCAATGGCTAGTCACGTGTCCGGTAAGTAAACAAAGTGCATGCAAACTAGATCTGAAGTTTTGCGGTCCAGTCACCATCCACGCATACGGATCCACCTTAAGCCTTCGAAGACAGTAGTGCCAGGCTGGGTTCATGACCTTCACCCGCTTCTTCACCTGGGCTGTTGCTAGACGGTTTGCCATTCACACACGGCGACCGAAAACTGTGCAGTGAATCTGAATGCAAGTGCAAGTCACCAGATCCAAATCACTCTCTTGAAAAGAACCAGGCGCCGGAGCCATGCCAGGCACAGGACCAGGCACAGGACCAGGACCAGGCACAGGACCAGGCATAGTACCAGGCATAGGAGCAGGCACAGGACCAGGGTGACCAGGCACAGGAACCGCACCAGTAGGCATCGGGCCAAGCCCCGGAGCGACGCCGAATTGCGGCACTGGAGGCGGCGGAGGTGACGCCCAATAGTAGCCCGTAGCCATTTGTGCTCGCGCCAACAAATCCGAGTGGGTCAGGGTGCTGTCGGCTGGCATATCTGTAGGCAGCCAGATCTATAGGCACCCAGGCACTTGACAGACAAATGCCGGTGGCAGATGCGGCAATTTGCAATGCACTCGCTCATGCTGAAGCTGACATGCAGACAACTCAATCGTGGCAGCAGTGCCTGGAACTCGGTCTGCTGATGCCGACTGCACTGCCAATCGTGAGTGAAGGAAGCCTCAATGGGCACACTGCTAGCACACTCCGCCATCCTAGCAGGCACTCATCACCAAGATGGACGAACTGACAAATGAGCCGAAGACAGACACCTCAGAGTGCGAGTGGACCTTAGGACAACAGGCTGCGGTTTCGGATCGACATGAAAAGAGCACGGGTGGGACCAACGCAAACAACTGACAATTCGTCACGTGTGTATATGTAATAGACACATGCACACACGCCCACACAGACACACACACACACACACACATATGACCACACACTCACATAAACACTGCAGTTTACAAGGCATTTTATCCGAGTTTCACAAATGTCAACACGATGAGGACATTCACAAGTCAGGTATTGTTAGCTGTTACACACGCTTGGCCGCGTGACATGCGCGAATCACTCCTGGCATCGAGAAACTCAAACGCTTTATGCGCGTTTCGCAGTAGCACGGCACAGCTACCTAAACACGGCACTTCAAACACACTGCCAACAGGGCGATGCCTAAACAAACACGCTACCAACGCCATGATGCCATGCGCAAGTCACGTTGTCCCAACCCTGACAAAAAAAAATTCCCTTCCCTTTTCAGACACAGATTGTCGCACTGCGGTCATGCAAGAATGGCTGCATCAAGGCAAAGTAGTACACAGCGATATTTGTTCGGCCACGTTGTGAAACATACACAATCATGGTCGCATGACATGCGCGAATCCCTGACCGACAAACCCAAACGCTTTAAACTTTCTCCGTGCTTATTTGTTAGTGTCGCAGTAGGACGACGCAACTTCTGCGCAGCTGCACAATCAAACGTAAGTAACAGTCACTGCCACACCGACCCGTGTAATGTTTGTACGAAATTAACACACCCGATGTGTGAAGTTAGTACGTGCAGATTTCCTGATGACCTCATTCGCTGTCAGACACAAGTAACTCATCAGTTAGCAGCCACACATAAGCTGTTCTCTTTGATCAACGTAGAACCTCCTGGTTTACGCACCCAGTAGCCTATATTGCTGGCATCACGGACGCTGCAATACTGACCGGCACATGCACCTAACTACGCCGGGTATCCCTTCATTAGGCACTACGACGAGAGACTCCTACTGGTCCAGCACTCGTGCTACTTCTTGTGACTGATGCCATGCTCAGCTTTGAACAGTATTTGACATGAACCAAAACCTCACGAGAGCCCGCTTCTGAAATTGCTAGAAACTGTGGAAACCCTTCTAATTAAATAACACAGGACAAAAATGTGGGAGTCAAGTGCTGCTGTTGGCTCTCAAACACCTCTTGAAGATCCCTCAACCCAACGTAAGCCTAATCACACTCACGGCGGCTCCGAGCTCGAGTGTTCGCTGCACTCTCAGCTCAGGGCATGGGCAATCACTGTCTTGAATGGAGTACCTGGAAAAGCACAGTGACTTTGAAGAATGCAAGCTTGAAGCATTGTAACTTCATATAGGTCACCGATTGAGGTCATGGCTAGCCACACGGAGTCAAACAAATAAGTCACCGCACCTGGTCCAGTCCAGGTCAAAGATTGTATTCTTGGACTCAAAAGAAATTCAAGAAATCAGGTCAGCACGAGTGCATGATCTGATAAGTTAAGCCGAGTCATCAAAGCAGGACAGGAACTCGAGCTGCACTGAAGCCGGACTGAGATCAGGACACGGACCACAGCCAGTCGGCCATCTTGCTGCAACAAGCCACCTGGGCAAACGCAGGAAACTTTGAGTTTTGAAGCTCCCAGCACATTAGCCCAAGCCCTCGACAATGGAGTCTCCTTGGCAGGCACTGACCTGGGCCGTCAGACTCTGAGAGACACACGACTTTGTTCGTTTGAGCATCCGTGACTGGGTAACCTGCGGCTGTATCGCCATAGGCCCTCGCACAGTCACAGTCACGAAGCTGGCACAATCATAAGTTAGAATGCACAAGTAGAATGCTGCAACTACACAATCTGCACCCGCTTTTGCACTCTGAATGCAGCTGAATGTCTTTTTTTGTAAAGTGTCAGGTGTCACACCTTCGCATCAATCACTGACTGACTCCTGAAGCTGAAAGTGAAGGATCTGACTGAATGTTTGACTTATGTTACTCCCGGGCATTAAATTAAAGTAAGGTGTGCCCCGAATCGTCATTGGATTCAATGACGAGTGTTATCGTGTGAAAATGACAAAGGCACCCAGACGCACGGGAAGATCTACAAACGATTCCCAAAGTATAATCGCAACTGAGATGACTGGAATATGTTTTATCCCTAAGTCCCACGTGCGGGTGCTCCTTTGCCTCCTTGGCCTTTGCCAGGCTCAGGCGGGCCCAAAACAGTTGGAGGCCCCTTAGGCACCAACGGCACAGTCACAGGACCTGCGGGTGCTCCTTTGCCTCCTTGGCCTTTGCCAGGCTCAGGCGGGCCCAAAACAGTTGGAGGCCCCTTAGGCACCAACGGCACAGTCACAGGAGGCACCAACGGCGGCTTCGCAGACATCAATGGGACCACAGTGCGAACTCCAGGTACGTTAACAGGTGGCCTAGGAGGTGGACGAAGGCCACCAAGGCACGCACCGAGGCCAGGCGCAGTACCAACACCAGGGCAGGGAGGCAAAGTCCCACCCAGGCACGAAGCACCAGCCAGAGGCACTGTCCCACCCAGGCACGAAGCACCAGCCAGAGGCAGTGTCCCACCCAGGCACGAAGCACCAGCCAGAGGCACTGTCCCACCCAGGCACGAAGCACCAGCCAGAGGCAGTGTCCCACCCAGGCACGGACCACCAGCCAGAGGCACTGTCCCACCCAGGTACGGACCACCAGGCAGAGGCAGCGAAGTACCACCAAGACCAGCCAAAGGCACTGATGCAGCAAGGCACGAACCAGGAGCCGAAGTCGCAAGGCACGAACCAGGAGACACAGGCACTGATGCTGCAGGCACTCCAGGCACTCCAGGCACTCCAGGCACTCCAGGCACTCCAGGCACTGGACCTGGAGGCTGTGAAGAGGCACTAGACCCAGTACCACCACCCGGACCTCGAAGACGGCATTCATACTCACCTGTCTGCCAGAACTTTAGCATTTCGTCTGCTGTAGAACGCGCCAGCTTCCCCTCAGCCACCTGATGCATCAAGAATGTCTGTGCCGTAGCCACCGCGCGGGTGTCTTTGAGATTGATATTCTCATTGACTGTCCGCATGATGGTCGCAGCCATGGCTTCCTTTGGACATAAATACAAACAACAAGAACTTATCTCCCACTACTGACTGATTTCTCAAAACCGACCAAATCAAAAAAACAACACCAGGCAATAAAAACCCAAGTGGCGAGTGCCTGTGCTGTTTCCATCGGCGGTGGAGCAGGCACCGCAGACACCGCAGACACCGCAGGCACACCAGGAGGCTCAGCAGGTGCATGCACCTCCGCGGCCACAGCCACAGGCCTGGCCTTGGGCGCTGCCCGTGGGCTCGACGAGGCACCACCGCCACCGGCCAACCTTCTTTTATTCCACAGCACCTTGCGCTGCTTGTTGCTGAGTTCTTCTTCTCCGTCTCCTGCTGCTGGTCTGTGAATTTTAATAAACACAAACAGGTCAATACTAAAATTAATAAGCCTTAACCCCAAAGCCTGCATTCCCCTTTAAAGTGAATTCTCTTCATAACTTCAGGTCCTGCGTCAGGCACTCGGCGGGTTCCAGCAGCCACAGGACGAGGCACAGCTTTTGAAGTTGGCTGCAGTCTTCTAGGAGCTGTGGAAGCCGATGCCTTCGCCCCCGATTCCTCCGATTCCCGTACCTCCGCCTCCGCCGCGGCTGCAGCCGCGGCCTCCTTCTCCTTTTGCTTCTGCTTCTGCTGGAAGCGGGTCATGGCTGGCAGGGCACGAGCTTGACAAACGTGTTAATTAAGTAAGCACTCGGATAGCTTACGGTTGTCTGGGCTTGGGCACTACTACATTCACGTCTAGTTGTTCATGACGCTGTGACACAGATCGGGCTTGAACACTGAAGTCACTGACGGCAATTCGAAGTTGCTCTTGGCACTGTGACTGTGACGACACTGAGACACTCGATGAAGGTGCACTCTGCGCCTCTGCACACAGTCACAGCCGTCGACGACGAAAAAGATCTTCAGACCTCGCGAAAGGCAGGAGTTCTATTTACGATTGAGCCCTCTGCATGCAGCCGTCCTCCAAAGCCACTGTTGACAGGGATGAAGGCCTCGAAATGCCAGGAGCGATGAAGCTAATTGCAGCAAACAGTTCTTATTGAGCCACCGGCATCCCTGCTTCAGGATTTAGTTGGTTAGGGTTAAAATAATTACTGAAACTGAGGACTTGACTTAAGCCTCGGGTTTCAGACTTAAGATGTTCATGGTGATCTTAAAATTAAACAAAGGTTCTGCTGCTGATAATACTACTACACCTAATACCACTACTACTACTGCTACTACTACTACTACTACTACTACTACTACTACTACTACTACTACTAGTACTACTACTACTACTACTACTGCTGCTACTATTACTACTACTACTACTACTACTACTACTACTACTACTACTACTACTATTACTACTCCTACTACTACGACTACTACCACGACTACTACTACGATTGCTATTACGACTGACGACTACGATTACCACGACTACGGCGACCACGACAACTACTACAAGTACTACAAGTACTACAAGTACTACAAGTACTACAAGTACTACAAGTACTACAAGTACTACAAGTACTACAGTACAACAAGTATTACAACTACTACAACTACTACTACTACTTCTACTACTACTACTACTACTACTACTACTACTACTACTACTACTACTACTACTACTACTACTACTACTACTACTACTACTACTACTACTACTACTACTACTACTACTACTACCTACTACTACTACTACTACTACTACTACTACTACTACTACTACTACTACTACTACTACTACTACTACTACTACTACTACTACTACTACTACTACTACTACTACTACTACTACTACTACTACTACTACTACTACTACTACTACTACTACTACTACTACTACTACTCGTGTGACCGGTGGCTGGGAAGCCATACCGGCAAAACCGGGGGCCGAAGCCTCACCAGTACGACCGGGGGCCGAAGCCTCACCAGTACAACCGGGGGCCGAAGCCTCACCGGTACAACCGGGGGCCGAAGCCACACCGGTAAAACTGGGGGCCGAAGCCACACCGGTAAAACTGGGGGCCGAAGCCACACCGCTGGACCGGGGGCCGAAACCACACCGGTATGACCGGGGGCCGAAGCCACACCGATAAACCCGGGGGTCGAAGCCGCACCGGTGGACCGCGGGCCGAAGCCACAACGGTAATAAAACCGGGGGCCGAAGCCACACCGGTAGGACCGGGGGCCGAAGCCACACCGGTAATAAGACCGGGGGCCGAAGCCACACCGGTAATAAGACCGGGGGCCGAAGCCACACCGGTAAGACCGGGGGGCGAGGCCACACCGGTGGACCGCGGGCCGAAGCCACAACGGTGGACCGGGGGCCGAAGCCACACCGGTAAGACCGGGGGCCGAAGCCACACCGGTAAAACCGGGGGCCGAAGCCACACCGGTGGACCGGGGGCCGAAGCCACACCGGTAACACCGGGGGCCGAAGCCACACCGGTGGACCGCGGGCCGAAGCCACAACGGTAAAGACCGGGGGCCGAAGCCACAACCGGTTGAGTGCGGACGCGAGCGCTCGCGTGCGAGCGCGGACGCGAGTGCGGACGCGTCTTTTAGGGGTTTAGGGTTTAAAAGTACTTTAGGGTATCTTACTTAAGTCTTTACAATGAGGCACAATGAGGCACTGACTGAGGCCCTGGCAATCACAGTCACGGCCGTCTGAACGATGCAGGCCTCACATCAGAGTGGAGTGAGGCCGCCTGCAACTGCAGCACTGAAGGTGATCTGGGGTCGTGGCCACCGTGGTGTCCATCTCGACGATGAGGTAACATGGGCGACCAGGGCAATTTAAGGGTGCAACGCATAGATCAAGTCAAGCACGTGTACTTCTTTCAGGTTTCAGTCACTACTTCTGTCAGTCACTTCAGTCACTGCGATACATTAAGCAGCATTTCCAAGGCACAAATATTGCGGCCGTCCCGCCCCCCCCCCCAGACACGGATAGTCAACCTAAAGCACAACCAATATCCCTAAAGTACTGTTTCGAACCCCAAATTATGTTAGATGTTGTAGCTTCAAATCCCGGCGTACGAACCAAGCAGGCCACCCTGCCCCGCCCCAGTATGTAGGGTGCCGAGGTGAAGGGGTCCGAGCCGGGGTTAGATTGACAGTCCGGTGCTTGATGGTGCAGATCCCTAGGCCAGGGGTCTCGTCATGTTTGAAGATCGGAGAGGCAAACTTCTGGACACTTGTGTATTCGGCGGTGGTGGTGGTGGTGGTGGTGGTGGTGGTGGTGGTGGTGGCGGTGGTATAGTTGTAGCGGTAGTCGTTGTGGAAGCGGCAGTAGCGACAGGCGGCAGCAGCAATAGTAGCAGCAAGGTGTGATTGTTGCTGCTCTTGCTGCTGTTGCTGTTGACGAGGACGATGACGTTGATCACGGTGATGTTGAAGGCGATGAAGAACGTCAAACGTGGCGGCGGCGGCGGCGGCGAGGACAGGGGTAGGGAACACCAGGAACAGCTGTGCTCCCATTGCGACCTCTCTCCGACGCTGAGCTTCCAACAAAACCGAGTCGGGTCCCCTGGCCACCGGCCAGCACGCAGGCCGCGACCTCTCGGGTGCGCATGGTACCCCTCTTCTAGACTTCTAGACATGACGCATTTAGGGTGTTTCTTGCGAAATCGAGGTCCTGTCTGTTTGCATGTGCCGGCAAGGGTATGCAAGGGTCTTCTACATTCAGCAGGCAGGGGGCCGGCGGTGGCAGGAAGGATAGTCGGGTATTTTAACAGTCGTGCATGTCGAAGACCTGTGGCTTTCCAGAATCAAAACGTGACGCCCCCAGGCTCACATGCCAGACAGTTCGACTCCAAACCACCCGTGAAGTTCAAACATCAGGCTCGCAGCGCACCTCGCCACGACCTGAAGGGCATGTTCAGTCTCCGGCAGCTGGCCAAATACATGTGTAGACATATGTGTGATGTCCCGGAACTTGGGGCGCGGAAGGATTCCGAAAGCAACTTGGAAATCTTGAGAGGGCGGGGGTGGGGGGATTCGGAAAGTATCCAAAGTTCAGCAGCATAGTTTCTGAAAAAAAGAAACACAGTTCAAAAACCCTGGGTGGAGAAAAAACAACGGAGTGCCTCCGGAAAGCGAGTGTGAAAACCCAAAGCTTGGTAGCCCAAACGACCGTGGGTGGCAGTTGCAAAGCTCAAACCTCACGAGGACTTAAGAAGGCATTGGTTGCAGCCCGCGACCCTTGCAAAAGATCGTGGACAGCACACCTCTAGGACTCTAGGCCCCAACAGCTGGTAGACCCCAAACCCTGAAAGAAGATCGCGGTTGGCAAACCCCAAACCCAAAAGAAAACTTAACAACCTAAAGGAAGGCAAACCCAAACCCCCCCAACACCCGGAGGCAAACACCAAAAACGGCTATTGGCTCGAAAGGCCACAAACTTCAACAGAAGATCGTGGGCGTCAAACCGACATTGGTTGACCTCCCCGCAAACGATATACCACGACCTAAAACGGAACGTTATTGGTTTACAAACCCGAAACTCTCAAGAAAACACTATGGGACGGTTGCTAGCAAACCCTATACGCTAAAGGAAGTTCGTGGTTGGCATCATCACGAATAGGGTTGAAGTCAGTGTGGCATTGCAAGCCCGAGCAGCCGATCGCATCAAGCCCTTGCGCCCGCCAAGAAGCAATATCCTGGAAGGAGTGCTGGATGCTTCCCGGAGAGAATGGATGGGAAGGATTCTGCGTAAGGTTTGTAAAGTTTAATGTAGGGGCCTTCAGTAATAATTGGAATAAGGTTTTGGGGGCCAATTAAACCATAATTATCACCAAAGGGTAGTGCTGGCAATTATTCGGCCCCTATAGTAGT